AAAAAAGAGGGGGGCAGTCAAAATCACTTAATGCAAGGTATTGGCTTTCAGATGGAGGTTTTTTTTTTTTTTTGCTCTAAGAAGTGATGTTTTACTGAGAAGAAGAAAAAGGAGGAAAGAACATACTTCAAAATTAATATCCTAATACATTCCAGATGTGCTGTATAACAGCCTCCATTACTTCAGGTAGTAGGAATAATAGATATCTGGGCATTAAACCAAAGATAGCTTCTTAGGCTATAGAATTTAAAAAGTGAGCTAGAAGCTCACAGCATTAAATATATGAGTAGAATGGCCTAGGACAGTATACCGACATCAAATTTGTGAAGAGACTACGCAGATATAGAGTTTAGTTTGGCCTTTGGCTATCAAGACTTTGAGAGGGACAATTCATTGTGTCTGATCTCCCAAAAATATAGTGGCCAAACATAATGCATAGATTTAAAGATCTCGTTTAACCTATGATTTCAACAGGGGACTGCCCTTGAAGACTGCCTGGAAGTTACAACTGGTCTGGAATTCAGAGGCACATGCAGCGCTGGGCAATCCTTTCGTTTATTTATTTTATAGTAACTTATCCAGAGGGACTCTGGACTGCATTTACCACAAAGGGGGAAAATAATAACGTTTAAAAATGATTTAAATTAATACGGAAAACAGGACTAAAATCAATGACCCTGAGGATAGATATCATCAGTCAATAAGTTGAAGTCCAGATGCACTGAACTAAAACAGAGTGAAACTTGTTTACTGAACTAGAATAAGGTAGGAGCTACGTGTACTACTGGAGCAAAGATGTTCCATAAAGGTATCCGCAATACCCTGTTGGACTATTGCTAAATCAAGCTCTGTTTGGCCTGCTCTGACTGGCAGCTCTCCAGCATTCTACTTAGGGCTAAGCACAAAAAAAAATATCTCCAAATGTAGGAAGACTGGAGAGATCGTTATACTGGAAGTAAATTATAATCATTTACAATAATGAACTGAGGTGTTCCTATTTTCTACCTTCTGCTACAACAATCACGGATGTCACAGTTTTTCTCCAAGCTGTTGGCTGGGAGCTGTGCTTTTTCCCAACAGTGCTCATCAAAATGACGCTAAGCCCCGAGGGAACAAAAGAAAGTAGCTATTAACAGGGACTCCTGCGAGTCCCTTACACTGCAAGGCGATCAAACCAATCAGTCCTAGAGGAGATCAACCTTGACTGCTCTTTAGAAGGCCAGATCCTGAAGATGAAACTCAAATACTTTGGCCACCTAATGAGAAGGAAGGACTCACTGGAGAAGAGCCTAATGCTGGGAACAATTGAGGGGAGAGGAAGAAGGGGACGACAGAGAATGAGGTGGCTGGATGGAGTCACCAAAGCAGTAGGCGTGAGCTTAAATGGACTCCAGAGGACGGT